CGACAGTGCTCTTGCATGCTCGCTCACTTGGTATCACTCTCCCTTCGGGAGACCCTTGATCAACCCCCCCAAAGACACGCACCACGTCCCAGGCTGTTTTCCACCTTTTTGAAAACGCATTCTATTTTTTGCGTAGGGAGGGACATGGTTGCCGTATGACCAAGAGGAGGAAGAAACGGTGAGCCGAAACGACTGGAGATTTGAGAATTTGTGAATGAACCTGAAGGGGGGGAAAAAGGGAAAAAGAAGAAAAAAGAAAAAAGGGAGGCCAGAATCTGGCACGCTGTTTGCATGGGAGCTCTCTCGCTCGGCTTGTGCCGTAGGATTTACTTGTACGAGTACACAGCGGTGCGGTACCGCTGTGGGATACCGTGACTGTGCAAGTACAAGTATCATACCGCATCATAGCTGTACCAGTGCGAGCGCATCTCACACTTGATCGGCTCTGTAGGCCTACTGTACGAGTACGGTACTGGCTCCTGTTTGGCGGTGTCGGTGGTGGTGTCGGTGGTGGTGGTACTCGTACTGTGCTCGAATAGTGGTGTGCGGTGCAGTAGGCAAAAAACCCGTCCTACCGTCTTGTCTCATGCGCATCGTCCTTCCGAGTGGTTCGCAAAGCCGCACTTGGGAGTAAACCAACCCAATCCACCCTCCTCCACTGCACACCATTCCATTGCCACACCCAAACACCCTACCATTCCACACAACCCTACGGTATACAGTACCTTCAACCCCGACAACTACATACATACTCCACTCCACCGCAACTGCACTGTTTTTACACATCCGCTTCACGGCACTGAAGACGTCAGCATAGAGCCTTCTTCTGCTTCGCTCTGCTCTGCTCGGGTCGTCGTAGGAGAGAGGAAAAAACAAAAAAAAAGCCGTTGTCCCTATCCTACCCCCGCTGTTGCCGCTCCTGCCGCGCGCTCCGTGAATCGGGATTCAATCGATTGCGGCTCCGGCCTGGGAAATGCTCTACTTTGCTACGGCAGCGACCGAATACTGCTGCCCCCAATATCGCCCTCGTGGCAGTCTCTCTCTCTGCAGGGGATCCACCTGATGGTGCCGGAACAGATCTTTCAGGTATCTCCGCGAGCCGTACCTTAACTTCGTCCTAAGACCCCACCCCCCCTTCTCCTCCTAGTCCTGCTACCCTCCTCCCCCCCCCCCCCTCCCGCCGTTCCAGATCACACTTCATCATCATCATCGTCGATACCCACCCTCCCCTTCCCGCCCTGTGGCCCCACTTCCCTTCTCCGCTGCTGCTGCCACTGCTCGGGTATAATCCTTCCGCCCCACGATAGCTCGCCGCCTCCGCCTCATTTCCGCCTCGATCCCCGCTGTAGACTTGTGGGTGACGAATTATTATCCTTCCTTACCCGGCTGTCCCCTGTCACTGGGAGCTTTTGACTTTCAGAGTCCTCTCTGCTAACCAATGCTTGAGGGGGAAGGGGCATATATGAAGAAGGCTGGGAATTATTGAAGGAAAGAAAAGAAAAGAAAAAAAACGCATTAAATAAAAGGACCCTCGTGAGCAATACAAAAAACCACTTAAATTAATCACAGATATTACTACTGCCCCGGTTACCGCTTTTGTATATGTATTGAAATCACCGAGGTAAGGTTTTTGTCCCTTTCCATGTCTTATGTGCCATTTACGATTCGCTACTTCTCTTTATTTTTCTGCATTATTGAGTCCTCATGATAGCCTTCTTCCCTCTCTTTGGCTCTCTTTCAAACTATTGCGGAAATGGTCGCTTATGCTAAAAAGGCAGTCTCTCTGGGGATTTCTTTCCCGTACTTCTTCACGGGGGTTCAGGCTATACCCAACACCGATTACCACCAAACAACCCGCCCCCAATACCCTTTTTTTTATTGAAAAAGAAAAACAATGATGGCATCACATACCTCCAACGGCATGGAGATAGACCAGTTTCCACACCCAGCTTCGACGAACAGTTCTCATCGCTCCGAAAATCTGCCCTCCATCAACGCGGTGCTTAAGAGTCTCAGTAACCCCGTCCCGGCATTTTTCCCCGCTGGCCCGGAATCGGAGCCAAGGGTTCCCGTGGGCCTTACGCCAAAAAAATGGGGCCCTTCCGACTCTGATCGGCGGCATTACAGTGTCCCTAAACAGCAGCATAGCCAACTGCATAGTTACAGCCGGCAACATCATAATCATCCTTATTCTTTTCAAAAAACCGAGAATTCCAGTCGTTATCATATACAGCTAAGTGGTGGAGGAGGATTGGGCAGAGCTGGTAGAAGAAACGGGGGATTGGAAGCCCCCTCGCAGCACTTCTACGCACAGAAGTCCAGTGACCGCAGCAACACCTGTGAGCCAGAGTATTCATGGGGAGCTGAACGAGCAGCAATATCAGTCTCGAGTCCGGGCCTACCTGGTGCGACTCCGTCAAGCCATGAACAGCAACAACATCAGCAACCGCAGCACCAACAGCAACAACCGCCGCCTCAACAGCAACAGTCACCACCACTACCGCCACCCCCTCCTCCACCACCGCAGCAACAACGAACCCAGTATCCACCACAACCACCACCTCGACTATCACCCATCAATTCCTGGGCTAATGGCAATAGGCCGGAACATTCTGGGTCGCCGCAATTGAGCCCTACCATCACGGAAGGATATTCGCAGGATTACAGCGTTAATGACTCGGACGCTGGGAATGAGAGATATTCCGAAAATGGCGATTCGCTGTCGGACCTCACCAATAGCGTTCATGGGGACTCTTACAGTCACACTGGGAGTATTGGGCCGCCCTATGCAAGGCAATTTTCCTGCGCAAAATGCAAAGCGATATTCAAATGCGACTCACTTCGTAGGTAAGAATTACTGCACCCCATTCAAATGTGCCAACTGCCAATATCATCGGCGCTCTATCCCCCACCCCCCCCCTCCCCCTCTCCTCAACGTGGCACCCGCAGCCATCTGAGAAAATGAAATGTCAGAGAAAGAAGAGAAAAGAAAAGAAAAGAAAGGGTCTAGGCAATGTGCGATGTCATGAGTGAAACCCTCTCCTCGCTTCCGACTCGTCGGAATACTCCGGGTTCTCGTTTTGTCTCCTGTTTTTCTTGGCTGATAATTTCCAGGAAACATGAGATGAAACATACGAAGCCCTTTAAATGTCAAGTTTTAGGTTGTAAGAGAACAGCAGGATTTAGCTCCATTAATGACATGAATCGCCACATGAACTCCGTTCATAGGAGGCATATATCGGGCCCTGCCGTGGGTTATGACTGTCAGTACGATCATTGCCGGGATAACGGGAAGATCTTCTTCAGACTGGATAATTTTAGGAACCATCTAAAGAAAAAACACGGCCCCAAGGGACCACAGGATGGATTGGAAGAATTCTTGAAGAGGTGTGTCTTTTGTCCTCCCTCCTTCTATTACCTTACTTCATTTTTTTTTTTGCATTTTTGTGCGAATTTTTGCACTTGGGTACAAATACCCCGGCACCACGCTGGAGGTATCACCATTCGGGGGAGAGGGGGTTTTAATGATTCCCTTTCCTTTTCCTTCATCTCGTCATTCCCCAAACAAATAAATCAAAAGAGAGAGAGCGGGAAGTAACGTCTATGGGGAGCGGCTTTTCTCTTTTTCCTTCCACAATAAAGAGCGGAAACCGAATGCCGAAGGACACAATCCGCGGATTTCATGGCCCCCCATTCCCCTTCGTCAAATCAATTTATGGATACGCGCTCGGAGCCTGGACTTTCCGATGTGCCGAGCACCCCGATAGCCACGGACAGCCCCGGTCTCCCCCCCTTTTCCCCCACTTTCCGGAGGACCCCACATGAGACTTTCCAAACCGCTGCGCAGCCCCCGGCCCCAGGTTTCCCCTCCATATCGGAGTCTGGTTTCGGCCATGGAAAGCTGGCTCCGCTTGCCCCCAAGAATCCTGTGCGAGAGGCTTTAGATGCCGGTAGCGACGATCGTATGGACTTGGACTTTGAGGAGCCTATCGCCAAGGTCTACAAACCAAATGGTGCCAAGCCAGGTGGAGCACCAAGTATCAATACCACTGCCAATCTGGGAGCAAAGGACCGGGGTCCCGAAGCCACTATTACTATTCGTAACAATAGATCAATGGAGAGGAAACGGAGGATAAGTGAGATCGATAAGTTGATTGAAGAACTAACTTCGGAGAAGGATAAGCTGGTATACGAAGAACAGGTCGAATTTGGTAGAAACAATTACCCTACTCAATCCCAGAAGGCACCGCAGGACTCCCAGGCCGCTGTTTCAGGACCTAACGGGCCCAGCTCTGAGAGAATTGCCTTGGGAAGGATCGAGCGAAACGACCCAGACCATGACATGCACGGGGACAATGAACCGGGTGCTCTAGCCGATTCTGAGAGGTCAAGCGCCAGCCATGCCCTTCAAGGGTATATCCAGCAGGAAACTGCTCAGGATCCATGGCCAGGGAGGTGGCTCGACCCCAGCATCGAGTCCCACAGCCCGGATACGGTGGATAAGGACCGCGCCGGTGCACTTTCTCCCCAGGGGACCATGACAGTTTCCTCACCGACAGGGACCACTGCAGCCACAGAGGTATCACAACAGCCGCATCCGGCCAGAGGTCGGCTCAGGCCCTCGCCGCCCTTGGCCGTGGGATTGCGAGCTCAACGTGGGGCGATACCTAATAAGCAAACAGGCTCCAAGTACGCCGGGAATGCCGCTCAGTTGAGGCTTGGCCCTGGACCCAGTTCGGGATTGCAAAAAGGCCCTGCAACCTGTCTTGTCTGTGCAAAGACATTTCACAGGCCAAGCGAGTTAAAGTAAGAGCACTGCCATAATAATAATTAACAGTAACGGGGGGGGCTATAGTCTATGCGTATATAGGGATTATACCCGGATGACCCCGCCCGGTTATCCGGGGGACCGCCCCAGCGCAGTAAGGCAATACTAACGAGTTTTCCTAGGAAACACATGAAACGTCACTCACGCCCGTTTGCCTGTACCTTCCGGGGGTGTGGGAAATCGTTTGGCTCGAAGAACGATTGGAAACGTCACGAGAACAGCCAGCACTTTCAACTGGAATTGTGGAAATGCGGGGTCATCGCACCCAAGTCCACCAGCCTCTGTGGTAAACTTTCGTTCCGGAGAGAGTCTCATATCACGCACTTGAAGAATGCACACAACATTGTTGATAAGCAAGAGATTCAAAAATGGACCAACGAGGCACACATTGGCCGTAACAACTTCAAGACATTCTGGTGCGGATTCTGCTCCAAGGAGAGGGATGGGTTGATGATAAAGGGCTGTGTTGTGCAGTTAAAGAAGAAGGGACTGGATGGCTGGGACGAGCGGTTCGACCACCTGGGGAAGCATTTTGAGGAGGGGAACCATATCAAGGATTACACGTTTCATGAAGACGATGTGTTTGGGGACCTGCAGTCTACAGAGGATGATGACGACGATGACGACGAGGCAGACGGTGTCGGGGAGGGGGACGATGACACGAGCGAGGAGCCGCCCATCATCGAATCCACGGCGCCGCCTGAAGAGAAGGCGGAGAAGTTACAGCCCTCCCAATTCACCACCATTCAAAAGGATGAGAAAGGCAACAAGAGAGGGAAGATATGGTACTGCGTAAGTTATGAAGAAAAAGATCAACCCACAACGCGCTCACCTCCGCAAACTTCTGACGTTTTACCTTTTGATTACTATAGTGCAAACACAATGTGGGGCGGTGTTCCGACCCTGGCCCGTATACCGTGGGCCTAACGGATTCATGTATGGAGTGCTGTCACGAACGATGTTCGGCATGCTCGATTGAAGGGAGGGCGGAAGGAGTCCGGTGATGATCTCAGTCACTCGGTTTATTTTAATGGGCTTGATGTTTTATTCTTATATCCCTTTTCCCGCAGTCGCCATCATTACCATTGTTACTCGTCCTAGCCTTTTTTTCTTTCTTTTTTTTTCTTCCATGCCTTCACTTTTTTCCATGCCTTCACTTTTTTCCTCCTTTTTCGCCTTACTCGAGGAGGGTGGTAATACCAAGTAACGCTTGTTGTATGTATAGTTAGATTTTTTTTTCTCTTTTCTTTTTTTCTCTCTGTCGCTTTTCTGTAGTAGCGACAGGTTAGAGAGGTCATTTTGATTGGAGTTTATCATTCCCGAGAAGTTGAAGAGAAGCAGAGAGAAGAAAGAGGGGGGGTGCGGAGAAGGGTACGATAAGGGGGGTGGAGCAGACGGGGCTGAGATAATCACATAACATCACTCGGAGACTAGTGTTCAGACAAATGCACAAAAGCTCGCTCGTTCCCCATTCACTAACATATTCACACCACGTATCCTCTCCCACTTTTGCTCCCTACCCACCCACCCACTCACCCATCCACCCACCCATTCCTCACGCGCTCTCGCAATCCCTACCCAGCCAACTACATAGGGATACAGGCTCCCTCCCTCCCGGTCAGTAGGGCTAACAGCTAACGATTGGGGGGGAGGTGAGAAAAAAGAAAAAGAAGGAGAAGAAGAAGCGCCTAATCTAATGGACGCACAGACAGCCCTGAAAAAGCGAAGGGAGAGGAAATGGATCTCCCTCTGGTGGTAACCCCTTCCCCAAACCCTAGTCTATCTCCCTCTTCCCTTTCGATGGCCAAACACGTCGTGCCCGCGGATGAACGTATCATACCGTACCATACCGTACGTGCTCGACGAAAAGAGGGCGCAGAAACGTGCGCAGACGTAGAGGTTTTTTTTCTATGATACCTATTTTTTTTTATACACCAAGTTACCCCATTTTTCCCATCAACGCACGAGTTATTACGTTACACGGTACCAATACGAGTAAATCCATCCCTCTCGTTCGATTCGCGTATGCGCATGCGCCCATCCAAAAGATCTGGTCAGGAAAAGGATAACGAGATCTGGGGGGGGGTACCCTTCCGTAACCGGAAATATAAAGTGGCCAGAGTTCCAAACCACTCGACCGATTCCCTCGACGGACCAGAACGATACGGCACTGCACTGCTGCACTCGAGCACGGTGAACATGGGGGATATCGTAACCGATAGGAAGCGCGATGGAGCGAATCCCGTTCGGTCGGGTACTTCCAAGTACTCGAGCATCGTAACCTATTATACTCGCATGGTACTGTAATTTACTGTACTTGTAGAGGTCGGTACCGCAGTTTTGGTTTATTTTCAAATTATTATTTTCTTTTCTTTTCTTTTTTTTCCCCCCCTCCTTCCCTTTTCCTTTCTTTCCTTTTTCTCCTTTCTTTCTTTCCTTTTTTTTTCTTTTTCCCTTTTTTATTTCCTTTTATCGTTGTCGGTTTCTCGGCTGCCGAACCAGATGGATTCATGGTAAAGTTATCTACGGGTTGATTGTTCTTTTCACGGGTGGATAACCAATCGCTCCGTTTCGTTCCTTCCTTCCTTCCCGTTTCTCCTCAGGGGGGCGATTATAAGGATAAATATAAATGTAGAAATGAGATATATGGGAAAAAGAGATAATGATAATGATAGTGATTAATCCGAGTACAGTACAGTACCTTACTGTACCGGTAAGCGTGCTCGCACTGTTTACCTGTAACTCTAACTCTAACTGTATTATATATACTCGTAGCGATATCGCACGCACGCACGCACGCACGCACGCAGTGCAGTAACGGGTGTTATACAGTGCGGTGGAGTGCAGTGCAGAACTGTATCATACTGTACAAGCACGAGTACTGTACTCGAGTACCTCACTCACTCATTCAATCACTCACTTCTCCCATCGTCCCATCATTCCCGGGTGCGCAAACATTCTCACGGCCAGGAGGTGCGCACCTCACACCACCCGACTGACCTACAGGTACTGTACCCCCGTCATTGTCATCATCATCGTCATCGTCCGCCCTCCACACGCCAAACCGGACTCAGGGTTTGATTGCGGCTCCGTAACGTGTGAGTGTGCGTTGTACTTTTCCTCCTTCGCACATCTTCCTCATGCGCACTCACTCACTCACTCACTCATGTCCTGTACGAGTATGATATCTGCTTCGCACATTCCCTTTTTTTTTTTTTCTTTTTTCCTTTTTCCCTTCCTCTTTTTCTTCCTCTTTCTCTCTCTTTCCCTCCCCTTTTCCCTCCCTCTCTCTTAAGAGAAATAAAATAATAATAAAAAAAGAGCCATCGGTCACTCGCGCTCACTCTTAGGGGAGAAGGGGGGGCAAGGGGTTTCCCATCTGATGTATATTACGTTTTGGATGATCGTACAAATTAAAAAAAAAAAAAAAAAGAGATCCGCGAAATGGGTGGAGGGGCATTGCGCACAAAGGTGTCAGATAACAGGTACCGTTAGGTGGGTATGAAAGGCAGTTGTCGGGTATCATGGACGGGCGGACAGGTAATGGGGCATAGCCACGTACAACACCTTTCTCCTTCTCCTTCTCACGTCCGCCCCGGTTTCTTGATTATTTTGATTCCATCGGCGGGGGAAGGGGAGTAGAAAGGGGGGGTGGTGGTGCCTGGAGGGGGTGGGTGGATGGGTGTGTGTGGGAAAGGCAGATTGGGGGGAGGAAGGGGAGGAAGGGGAGGAGGAGGAGGAGGAGCAGGAGCAGGTATGCAGAATCAGAATCGGTCGTGTTTTGGTTTCGTCCTGTATTCTCTGGCTGGAGCGGGGTGAGAGGAGGCTCATGCGGCATCTGTAGGTGGCTTATCGAGTGGTGGGGAGAAAAAAATAAAAAAAGACAGGACAGGACAGGAAACAAAAAAAAAAGCCTGCAGGAAAAGTGGACGGAGCTGAGTGATAGGGTGGTGGGAAAAAACCGTGTGATGATCTGTGAACCGGTACTACAATTGCGGGCCAGGATGTTGATCCGAGGTTTATCTTGGGAGATTCGCTAGCATAGCATAGCATATCGTCATCTCCCCTTCCCTTCACTTCCCCCCCCCCCCTCCCTGTCCTCGGATCATGGAGCGAAATACCGGTAATGGAGTACTGTAGTCTACGTAGAATTGTCATTCACTCATTCACTCACTCATTCCTTTAGTCTAGCATTACGGTTGAGGCTCTTTCTTGTCTTTCTTTCTTTTTTCCCTTCCAAATATCGCGCTGCTAACCGAGCGCCTATATTTGATCTGATCCAAGCGGTCGGCCACCGAGCTTCACCTTTTCCTCTCGTGCTCGATTCTGTCCTGTTCTGTTCCGATGCGGTGCAGCAATCGAAAGGTGCCTCCTTCTCGGATCCTGTCCCTTTCCTGTCTCGCCCGTTCGTCTGGGAAGTCCGTGTGCTCGTGTGCGCGCTTTTGTTGTGTGTGTGCGTGTGCGTGTGTGTGTGTTGCATGTGTGCTTTTTTGTCCAAGTCCCTTGCTCGCAGGGTGGATTGATGGACGGACGGAGGAGGAGGAGGGAGATCCGCCTGCTGTTGCCTAGGTTGCTCCTGGTGTGCCTGATTTCATTCCCTTCCATTGGGCGTTGGAGAGTGGTGTTTCTCCGGGTAGGTATGGCTAGGTAGGGTAGAGTGCGGCACGATAGCTCATGATAGCTATAATGGCTAAGGTGGGGGATATGATGGCAGACTCTCTACGAGTACGAGTACTGTACTGTACTCGCATGGTACCGGCGATACCGGTCCAAGTGAAGGGGAGGGAAGAATGTACTGTACTGTACGTATGGGAGGCGTTTTTTAGGCCTGCTATTCGTGAGGTTCTGGATGATTTCTGAACTTTCTTTTGGGTCTGCTTTCTCCTCCTTGTAATACCAGTGCTGCGTTGGGGAATGGGGCTGTTGACATTTCTTACTTTTTTTTTTTTTTTTTTTTCCTTTTTGCTTTTTTACTTTTTTACTGTCTTTTTTTTCTTTTCTTTTTCTCTTGTGTGCTTTAGGTAGTGAACTTATTAGTCTGTTTATCGAGTTCTGATTAAGGGCACTTTTTATTCCTATGGCGGAGCGGCATTCTGTGGAGGCGGGGCCGCTTTCGTGGATAAAATCCCCGTTTTAGATTTTCCGTTTCATTAATTTTTTTTTTCCCATCGAGATATCATACATCGCTTTGCGGGAGCCAATTTGTTTATGCAGTATTCAGAGAAATGAGAGATCCTTCGGAATCTCAGATGAGATTGATTTTGGGGTAAATTTTGCTGCCTCCCTCCCTCCTCCCTCATGTTGCCCTACGTTTCAATATGTGGTCGACTCGACACCCTGATCAGGATTTGGATGATGGTGATGATGATGATGATGATGATGATGACGATGAGTAGACTATGGGGAACGTTCTCCACCCTGGTACGTGATCAATAATTGTTATCACACGGCAATGAGCTGTGTTGGAGGAAATGGGAGGGAGGAAGGAATGGCATCAACAGTTGTCCTGCGCTGACCACGAGAGTTCCCACGAACACATATACTTACAGTTGCCGTAACGGACCGGGCATGCAATAACGTCGTGATGCCCAGGTGCCTACAATGCTACCGGTATGTACTGGCTCCAAGGTGGGAAAAGAAAAGAAAAACAAATAAAGAATAAGAATAAAATGTACACAGTGCACTCCGGGGGGAAGGGAAAAAGTGGTGTTTCATTGCGCACGAATGCTTCCAGGAGAAAAAGGAAAAACAGTTGAACCAGCAAAGGGTCCACGCTGGTGCAAATGTTCTCTGGGGAAGGAGCAGTTGAGTGCTCGATTGCATTTGACGGCGAGCTCCCGAGCGAATCATAGTTCTACGTGGGAATCCCTGGCAACGACCTGCCGGTATGCAGGTCTGCTTCGGGCAGAGAGGAGGTGATGATGTAGTGTGTAGGGGGGACGCTCGGTATGGCCAAGGAGTCCGTTCCTCACTGTTATCGAAAACACAATAGGCGGAGGAGGCTCAACGGGAATCACCCCCCCCCCCCCACCCTATCCCCCTGCGGGCTGTTCCACAGGACCAGGAGTTATCGGCCAACAAACATTGGGGCGGTGCCAATTTCAAGAAAAGGATGAGAGACGGGATTAGTGTGCCAATCTCAAGCCCCTCTCCCCCCCCCCCTTCTCCGAGTCGACGGAGCGTGTGAGGTATGAGGTAGGATTCTCTACTCGCATTGTGCACATTCACCCGCCGGAGCGGTACTGTCAAGTTGGGCGGACTGAAAGGTACAAAATGGGCTGTCGGACCTCATTTCTCTGCTTCCTGAGCTACTGATTCACAGATCACA